CAGTCATAAGAGCCATTCCCGACACAACAACGGTGGAATGCCCCCATGGGATTCGCGAGCAACTTCGCTATCGCCGACGGCGTTCCTTGACAGCCGTTGGCGAGACGATCAAAAGGCGTGCTAAGTATCAAGCAATGAGCACACTGAATCCCGAGCTCATTCCGACGCCACAAGTGCAAATTCTGCTCAGTTTGGGATCTCTGATGGCTCGTGGCCGCTGGTCTACGCCACCTCACCCCATTGCGTCGCACTGGCCAGTTTAACACCAATCCCCGCACGCATCTCCGCCTCCTCAACATATTGCGAGAAAGCGGGGGGTGGAGCAGTTAGCATCACAAGCTGCACATCTAAGCAACGACTGCTGCTGCCGAGTGAAACTTAACCGGGTGGACCATCTGGCCCCTGACCAGGTCAAGGGTGGCCCGATACCCCGGAGGAAAGCCAAGTGTTTGGCCCCACGCCAACTCAGCTTGCCTCTGGAGGCCAACCTCGAGCAACTCTTGCAGCATTCGAGGCGAAACCAGATTTATACCGATGCGATTATAACGATGACCAATCCAAGAGCAGGCCTCGGGAGCCGTCCATCCTGCCCTCCGAAGACACAGCACGCCTCTGCTGAGCGGGCCTCGACTATTTCTCCAGTCGATGACACTGCTCGCAGTTGCCTGTTGACATAACGAGACGACGGCAGGGAAACTTATAAGGGCTCTCTCGGGCTCTACTTGGAGATCCAGATCACCCTACTCCATTGTAAGACAGGGCCGGAGCCGCGCGGACACCCCACTCTCCAAAGCGTACGAGCTTAGCAATTGCTGAAGTGCCTCCGTGCATTGGCGCCTGTCGCCTCGCTTGGGTTCTGCGTACGGCAGCCAATTCAGCATCAGAGAAACCCAGAACCCCAGAACCGTAGGACGACGTAGGAGCCAGGCCAGTACGCAGGACCCCTTGGAGGACTCGTTTGGGCGTCATTTGTTTCATCTTGCGAAACTTGCGAATCTTGTTGGCTCGCTTACGCCTGGCATTCAATATACTACAAAGCTTCGGGCGTGTATCGCTGGAGGCGCGACGAGCACCTGCTGTACTGTCCACTCCCAAATCGGTGACTCCTTCTTTGACGGTCTTAGTCTGCATCTGCAGATCTGCAACAACATCCTTAGCCAAATCAGCAGAAGAAGCAACTACACTTATCTTATGATGTATCGTAACATCTATATTTATCGTAGCACCTATTTTCAGCAACCTGACTAATCTTTTCCCGCCGCCACCGCCTAATCCAGAGCTCTCTGCCTTTTGCTGCCGCAGAGACCTGAATTCCTGAGTCGTCAATATACGAGAGGAAACTGACGAGCGAAGGCGGACGGCAACAAACCAGTCGAACTCACGAATCGCATGTGCTTTGATGCAAGAGTCATTGCAGCAGGCACCTGCTAGCAAGCCTAACTGGGCATGCACACAAACGAGCGAATGATACTGGCGCAGCCTCAAGATTCTCGGAGCTTGCCAGACATTAAACACTAGTTCAAGCAGCGGCGTGGGCACACGACAGGCTAAACACTTATCACGCAGACGAATGAGATCGATCGTCCCATAATGGCTCCTATAGCCGGCGACCGGCGACTACTTCTCGCCGCCTGCACCCATGCACAATCAGCCGCGCTCCGACCTCGGGTACCCCCTCAATACCCACGGCCCAGACCTTCCACCACTTCTTCTAGCATGGGGCAGCGCAGCCTTTGCCAGATACGGTGCGTACCTGAGTATAGTACAATGAGCCTATATCCACTGGGTGGCTTCGGCAACATAGGCGTCAGTACCCAGAGCACTAGCCTGGGCAAGTGGCCTAACGCTTCACAGCACTGCCAGAGCTTCGCAAGCACAGCTAAGACCAGCATCGTCAGATATCAACCCGGAACTGTCGAGGGTGAAGTTGATCGAAACATCTAGCCGTGCCCTCAGGAAGTAACTGAATCATGTTGCGCATATCTTCCACGCTGGCTACGTGAAAGGACTCGCGATCTGGAATCCACGCATTCGGGGCGGCGGCGCCTGCCTTCCAGAGTGCAGAGTATACTTTTCGCCCAATGCTGTAGTACACGGTGGGGGCCAGCCGTGGGACCTAAAGGATCATGAACAAACGTTGGGGGACGCGCACTACGAACCGCCGTGGTCCTGCGTCGCCCCGCGCGCTCCCTAAACTGGCTGCCTCACGCCAGCCATTCCAGTCACTATCAGATCAGATTCACGGTTGGCAGCTTTCTGGGATGACCCAACGTTTTTCCGAAATTTGTTCGAACAACTCAAGTGCGGCATCCTGATCAAGGTGCCCCTCAAACAATTTACGCGCCTGCTTGCAACAATTATTGAATCTCGCACTGAGGCCTGGACCAGGGTAGTCATCGGCAGAAAAGGCGGCAACTTCACTCGCATCGAGGACCTGCTGCTCAGCGCCCTCATCCTGGGAAGACATCTGAAGCAGGGCCTGCACATAATTACGCAGCCGCGCCCATCCTTCCGCGAGGAGAACCTTTTCCGAGATGCTGGGCACAGAGTTATCTCCACTCTCCCACCTGGGAGCGACATCTCTACCAAAGCCTGCAAAGTTCGTAGCATCTGTGCCCGCGCACCGGGCTACGTACTTGGCAGTTCGTTTTGCAAAGTGGCTTTAGGCTGACCTTAAAACCTCGGAAGCAACCGCGGGATCAGCCTGCTCATCATGGGCCATATCCGAACAACGATCGACGAGACCCTCGGCGAACGACCGATTAGGCGGAGCAGGCTGAGATCTCACGGGGGCAGCTACTGAAATCTTAGGAGCGGCTGCGTATACCCAGTGCTGGATACCATAGCCATTGCTCGCAAGCTCCAACAACGCAGGCCTGTGCGGACGAACCGTCCACTTTTCATCAATGCGCACAGCCTTATGCACGGATCGGTCAACCGGAAGAAAACAATGACAGAAGAACCCGCCCCCCCACGACATGTGCAGTTCTGTTGTGCGACAAGTGTAGCGTTTGCTAGGGCTCCGAAGCCACTGGCCTCGACGGCTCTCGGAGGCGCGTTCCAGCGCCCCCCCCGCAAAGCACGAGCACGGACCCTCCACCCAACTGAACCTCTTACTTATAGCAGCAAGAGATTTGGCATTCTGATAATTGGTGACAATGCAACGAAAGAGGCAGAGGTTGATGGCACGCGCAGGCGGCCATCCTGGAATATCCAGCACAATATTTAGCGCTCTACGTTGAACAACTTGGGCGCCCAGGGGGGCGCGAACATTGGCTTTGAACGAAGATGGCGACGCCCGCCGTCGGAAGAACTCCAGCCGACGGAAGAATAGGCAGCGCTATCTGCCATCCACGTTCAGTGATCCACCGCTGTAGGGGCTCCAGTTCACCTTCAAGATATCCCGCTTCCTGTGCCATGAGCACCGTTGCTCGCGAACGACGCAAGCGCTTCTTGATAGCATGATTGCCTCCATTCGCGTCGAAGGTCTCCAAGAAATTGGATGGCGCCGTTGCGTCGCGGGCGACGGGGGGATTTTCGCCTTCGGCCGCATTCCAGCCACGCATGGAAGCCGAGCTGAGGTCGAACAGATACAACCCACACTTCTGCCGCTTGACCTGCAACTCGACCATCTTGGACTGCAGATCTTCGAAGCTGTCTGCGCTCCACAACGCCTGCAGATTGGTATCGTCGGCGTCTTCATGCGCCCTCTTATCGGCAGCTGCGTCAAAAGGCTCAGCCATTTCTGCATCTTGAGGTCGCGCGCCATGTTGTGCACCCCCGTCTGCGACAGGGGCGCCTGAGGCAGCGGACCCGCCACCGCCAGCATTGCCAGAAACGCCCGGAAGACTAATGTTCTGCATCTCCACCCAAGCAGCACTCTTGAGGAAGTCGGCCTCACCTTCGTACTTGTTGCGCATCTCTTCCGCGCTGCCGATTTCGAACTTGGCGCCGTCCTTAGCGTCGGCAGCGGCGTCGCCAGCAGCATGCGTACTTGACTCAGCCTGCAGGAATGCTGTGGCGCGGGCAACTTAGGCATCCAACTAATTAACCTCGATGCGATTGACCTCGAGCTTCTGCTTGCGCTCATCGGTGGACGTGCGCAATTATTCAAACTGTGCTTATTTCTGTTCAAATTCAGCACTTTGTCGAGATACCGCTTGGCGCGCACTCTGTGGCTCATTGGTGGCTCTCCTGTGCGCCGTAGTCGGATTCCGTATATAGCCTTTTTGGGATTTGCACGTAGAACGTCAAGTTTAATCTTGATAGAAGAACCGAGCTCGTCGAAGTCACTGCTAGCATGGACATGTTTGAACGACTCCTCCAGCTCATTGGCTTGGATCACCAGCCGACCCCGTTTAGCATAGTCAGAACCTGGATCGGCATCTTGGGCAACCCCTGTAGCTTCTTTATCACGGGCTGTTTGATCTTTGAACCATAGGGCACGCTTGTGCGTGCCTTCCTTGTCTTTCTCGAGCAGTTCTCCACGCCCAAGTGCTTGAACCAACGCATCAAGTTGAGACTGCGCACGGGCGAGACCTGCATCATATTTACCTTTCCTTGTTCCTTTGCTCTTGGCACCACCACCTCCAGAATCGGACTTGGCAACAATGTGCTTCCTCTGCGCCTCGACGGCGCGACTGCGAATGTGTGCGAGCGCCGCGCTCCCGCAGCGGCAGCGGATGCAGCTGGCCAATTTGTGGGCGGTTCCACACCGCCCACAAGCCCACTCAGCACGACGAGGACCAAGTAGCACATCATCGCCATTGGCCATGGACCGCTCCCCCAGGAGCGAGGGAGCCAGCAGAGCGTTGTGTGTAACTAGAACAACAAGGCCCGCGAACGCGGCGCCTTGCCGAGCACTCGGTCTCGCAACCCCGTGCAATCGCCCGAAAGGGCAGCACGGTTGGAGGAGGGCGGAGAAGGAGAAGGAAGAGGAGAAGGAGGTCGCCGCCTTCTGAGGTGGCTTGCGCTTACCCCTTGGGCGCGCCGCCGATCCTCCTCCTGCCGCACCCCGTGCACCAGCCCCCTGCCCGCCAACGACCAAGTATCGCTTAACCTGTCCCCTTCCTTCCCCACGGGGCCCAGGGAACTCAGCCCCAACATCCCACCCTCCCCACTGGGGATAGGCCCCTCGAAATCTGAAGGGAACAGCCCATGTCCCATCTTGGGGGGTATAAATCGGCCAGTGGGACCCAGGCCATATCAGAGGGAATGGGCACCGGTCAGACGATGCTCACCGACCCCAGCGGCGCCATGGCGCACCCTCCGCCCGCTTGCGACCCCGGCGGGGGGCACAGCCACAACCTGGAGGCCCTGCTCCAGGAGCTGGTCGGCCAGCTGGAGCTGGGGGAGCGCCGTGCGCGCGAGGCGCTGCTGGAGCTGCGGGGCGGCGCCCGCCAGGCTGCACCGCCCTCGCCGGATCTGGAGCCCGCGAGGCCGAAGCTCCAGCCCGGCCCCGCGGAGCTGCATCGGCGACTGCAAAGTGTGTGGTTGCGCTGGGTGTGGTTTGCGATCTACGTCGTTGTGGCTTATAGGGTCACCACGCTGCCCCATAGTCGGGCCTCCTCGGGGCGCAGCGGAGGGCTCTGTCGAGGTGCTCGCCCGCCCCCTTGGGTGGCTGTTGTAAACCACCCTTTGCGAACCACACCCTCAGGGGTCGCCGATTGCAGGACGAAGCCGTTCCGCCGGCGGACGGAGGGGAGCCCGCGGAGGAGGAAGACGGCCAGCCCCGGAGAAGGAAAAGCGGCATGGAGCATAAACGTTCGGAGCTGCGCGCGGACTTCCCGATCTCGGGGGAGCCGCTGCTCGTTCTGGACAGCCCTCGTCGCCACGGCCGGATTCTCCTCGAAGTTATGGCCGGAGCTCACCCCAGGAAAAGCCTGGTGAGATCCGGGGAGTAGCAGGATTGGCATACTGTTCTACCGTTGTTCCCCCGGGATCGGCGCTGGGTGCCTTGGCGGCGCCTCCAGCGCCGCCGCCTGGCGCGCCGGAGGCGCGCCAGGCCAGGGAGGGGGGGGCATCCGTCAGCAGTCTCAGAAGTCCTCGCGGAGCTCCGAGAGTTGATGCTTGTGTCGTTTTCCCCTCTTCTGTAGCAGCGCGGCGGGGGCCCCGGCCCCGCGGCATCCCAGCCGATGGGCGACGTGTCCGGCGGCGAGATGTACATTCTGCAGCCCACGCAGGCGTCCAGCAGGAGCCTGCATTCGAGGGCCATGCCGCGGATGCATGCTGGGAGCAGGGCTTCGAGCCGGACCTCGGGTTCGGTGATGTCGTGGTTCTCCAGGCTGGAGTTGGGTTCCTTTCGATTGTTTGAAGAGTCTGGGCTTAGGCCTGCGTCGTAAGACGGACGTGTGGGGACACTCGTCGTGCGTAAGAGGTGTGCGCCGGCATCCTGTGTGCCTAAACGAGTTCAAGCCAGCATGCCTAAACGAGCATGCCTAAACGAGTTTAAAGTTAGTGGTCTGGTTGGGTGTGGTCTCTTGGGGTATTCCTGAACGAGTTCAAAGTAGTGGACTCTTTGAAACAAGCCAAGCGGAACCCAAGGCTGGAGTCGCTGGTCCCGTCGCAGTCACGCCGTGCCCACACCGCCGCCATGGAGATGATCGAGCATGACAGCATTCGTTCTTACGACTTGCGGTCGCTCTGGCGCACAATGGTCCGATCGAGTGGTAGCCAGTCTCAGATCATTGGTTCGAGGGTGTCCTGGAACATCAGAAGATTCGTTGCTGAAGTCTTGCTTGGGCCGCCATCTTCGCTGCGGCTATCTACGCAGAAGGTCGTCAGGAGCAGTCGCTACGAGGTCTGCGTGATGTTGCTGATCGTCGCAAACGCCGTCTTCTTGGGCTGGCAGGTGCAGCATGAAGCACTCACTCGGAAGCCGGTCAAGTGCGAGAGAGAGGTCGAGGCATTCTTCTGTGTCGTGTTTGCAATGGAGTTGTTGCTGAAGATCTACGCCTTTGGTCTGAGATTCTTCTGCGGGGGCGAAGGGTCGTGGAACAGTTTTGACCTGGCCGTGGTGCTGCTGATGCTGCTGGACTTCTTCACCAGCATTTCTCAGGAGATGAGATCAGGCTTCTGGACACAGGCGTCTGGACTGCGAATATTCCGGGTTCTCCGGGTGATCCGCTTTCTCCGCTCCGTAAGGCAGCTCAAGTTCTTCACCCAGTTGCGGATCATGATCCGCTCCATAATGTTCTCGCTCAAGCCTTTGCTCTGGGCCTCGCTCGTTCTGTCGGGCATGTTCTATGTGTTCGGGCTCTGTCTGACCCAGGGCGTGATCGACCACCTGCAGGACACCGACTCGTGGGACGACGAGTCCAGCGCCGAGATGCGCCAGTACTTCGGCACGCTGGAGCGCTGCGTGCTCTCCCTCTTCGAGGCGATGTCCGGCGGCATCAACTGGGGGGAGCTCTTCGACACGTTGTCGCCTTTGGCGTTCCAGTTCCGGTGCGTGTTCGTGTTTTTCGTGTTGTTTGCTATCTTCGGCGCGACCAACGTCATGCGTTGGCTGGCGCCGCACCGCCGACCCCTTGGGAGCCCTGGATGTCGTTTTTCCGGGGGGCGTTGTGGTAGAAGCGTTTGAGAGGCCTACGCTCACTTAGGAAACCCAAAGCTATGCTCGACATCCTGTTGGGTCGGTTTGAGGCCCTCTTGACGGGGCCTTCTGGGGGCCGCTTGGGGGATTCATGAGCCCTCTTGGTGCCCTCTTGAACGTTGAGGTTCTTGGGGGCCATCTTGCGAGAGAGTGCTCCTTGGAGAGGAGGTCTTTAACCGCATGCCGATGATAATAAAGGGACCCCCCCCCCCTTCAGTGTTTAGAGTTGATTATCGTCGCCCTATACAAAATTCAAATTGGGCGGCGAGCGCTGAGGCCGAACTTCATTATCACCTCGAAACGCTATGTTGAGATAGCAACATCAAGCGATGTTGATATAGCAACATCAAGCGAAGCGATCACACTTTTTCAGGATGTCTCAAGCGAAACCAATAGTTTTGGGAGGCAGACTCAAACGAAACGAGCAATGTTTCAAGGATGTCTCAAGCGAAACCAGCAATTTTCGGAGGCAGGCTCAAACGAAACGAGCAATGTTTCAAGGATGTCTCAAGCGAAACCGAAAATTTTGGGAGGCAGACTCAAACGAAACGAGCAATGTTTCAAGGATGTCTCAAGCGAAACCAAAATGTTTGGGAGGCAGACTCAAACGAAACGAGCAATGTTCCAAGGATGTCTCAAGGATGTTTCAAGCTAAACCAGCAAGTTTTTTCTTTTTATTTATATGTTTTATTATCTTCCTATATATATATATGTATCTATCCCCGCGCGCGCCTGGACTTTTTTATCTCTGGGGTTGATTATCCATGGAAAGGGGAGCACATGAGCTACCCTACATGAGCACTTAGACAATCAATGTTCATAAAGCGTTTGTAAATTAGAATTGATAGATTTGGAACTTTCAATGTTTCCGTTCTTCTTCTCTTCTTCTTCTTCTTATATTCTTCTTCTCTTCTTATTATTATTCTACTTTCCTCTTCTTCTTTTATATTTCTATCTGTCCTCACGCTCGCCTGAACTTTTTTGTCCCTGGGGTTGATTATCCATGGAAAGTGAAGCACATGAGCTACCCTACACGAGCACTTAAAAAAAAAACAATTTTCATAAAGCGCTTGTAAATTAAAATTGATAGATTTGGAACTTTGGATGTTTCCTTTCTTCGTCCTCTTCTTATTATCCTCTTCTTCTTCTTTCTTATTATTATTATACTGTGTTCTTCTTCTTCTTTTATATTTCTCTCTGTCCCCACGCTCGCCTGAACTTTTTTATCTCTGGGGTTGATTATCCATGGAAATCTAGGCACATGAGCTACCCTACACGAGCACTTACAAAAAACAATGTTCATAAAGCGCTTGTAAATAAAATCTAATAGATTTGAAACTCGAGATGGTTTCTTCTCTTCGTCCTTCTCCTCCTATCATTTCTTTTATTTTAGCGGTGTTTCAAGCGAAATAAGCAATAGTTTCAAGATGTCTCAAGCGAAATACGCAATAGTTTCAGGATGTTTCAGGCGAAATCAGCAATAATTTGAGGACGTTACAAGCGAAAAACACAATTATTTCGAGGATGTCTCAAGCGAAATAAGCAATAGTTCGATTGTGTCTCAAGCGAAATAAGAAATAGTTTGCGGATGTCTCAAGCGAAACAAGGGATTTGTCGAGGATGTCTCCAGCGAGATAAGCCATTGTTGATGATATTTCTATGAAAACTAAACGCCAAGGATGTCTCAAAACGTGCTCGGCTTGGTCTCCTCTTGATCATCTCTTACTTCGAGATTATGCTGAGGTCTGCTGGGCTACTTTTATTATCTCTCCCTGAACCCCGAACTTTATTATCCCCTAGTGTTTATTATCACGGGCATGAGGTTATGTGTGAAAGAGCGTGTTCTACCGCTGCTGGCGGAAAACCGGGGGGGGTCACTACCAGTTCGAACCCCTCCCCCCCCCCCTCCGGAAAACCGGGGGGGGTCACTACCGGTTCGAACCCCTCCCCCCCCCCCCCAGCTCATCATGAAAAGGGGGGGGGGGTCACTACCGGTTCGAACCCCTCCCCCCCCCCCCTCTCGAAAACCCAGTGGGGGTGCGGACAGAGGTGGGGACGGTGTTGGTGGGACAGTGGTGAGGGGACAGCGGGACAGTGGTGGGGACAGTGGGACAGTGGGACAGTAGAGGGCCGGTAGTGGTGGGGACAGTGGTGAGGACAATGGTGGGAACAGGGGGGACAGTGGACAGTGGTGGGGACGGTGGTGGTGGGGACAGTGGTGTGGGCACAGTGGGAATGAGGTGGAAACATGGGACAGTGGAGGGTACAATGGTGGTGGGGACAGTGGTGAAGGCGGTGGCGAGGACGGCGGTGGGACAATGGGACAGAGGTACAGTGGGGACAGTGGTGGGGACAGTGGGGACAGTGGTGGGAACAGTGGGACAGCTCAGTGGGACAGCGGAGGAGTCAGTGGGACAGTGGGGACAGTGGGGATAGTCGGGCAGTGGTTGGGGCCGTGGAGACAGTGGGGAGAGTGGAACCGTGGTGGGAACAGTGGTGGGGACAGTGGGGACAGTGCGACAGTGGTGGGGGCACTGGTGGGGACACAGTGGGGACAGTGGTGGTGAGGACAGTGGTGCTGGGAACAACAGTGGAGGATGTGATGCGGACGGTGGTAGGGACCGGGAGTCGTTTGCTGGCGGTGAGTGGGGGGGTGGGGAGGGGTTCGAACCGGTAGTGATCCCCCTCCGGTTTTCGAGGGGGGGGGGGGTTCGAACCGGTAGTGACCCCCCCCGGTTTTCCGGATCCGGAGGGGGGTGGGGGGGTTCGAACCGGTAGTGACCCCCCCCGGCTTTCGAGGGGGAGGGGGGGGGGGGAGGGGGTTAGGGGGGGGGGGGTTTTGCCGAGGGAGGGGGGGGGGGGGGGGGAGGGGGGGGGGGGGGGGGGGGAAGGAGGGGGGGGGGGGGGGGGGGGGGGGAGGGGTTCGGAGGGGGGGGGGGGGGGGCGACCCCCGGGCTCCGGAGGAAAAGGTTGGCAATTTTCCACAGTAAAGCGGCGGTGGATCACGCTCTCTCTTATGTGTCCAAGCGGGGTTTTCTGTGTCCCGTTGCGGCTTTCTGTGTGCCGAATCGGGTAATTTTTGTCCCAGGAGCCCGATGGCTTTCGTATAGGAAGCAGTTTGGAATCCCATCGGTGTCCTTCAGGGCATATGGGAAGCAAATGTGGTGCCCTGAGGAATTCAGAGGAAGCCTACAGGACGCTTTTAGGAATCCGGAGGACACCTGATGGAAACCGTTTGGAACCCGCAGGAGACCGATGGGAACTGTTTTCAGGAATCCAGAGGAAGCCTTTTGGGAAGCCCTTGCGAATTGCGCATCCCTGCGCGCACCCATTACGAATCCAGAAGGAACGCATGGGCAAACCCTTGGGAATCCCCAAGAAAGTTATATGTTACGACACTTATCCGTACACAGGCGACGACGATGACAACGACGACTACTAGTGCTCCTACCACCACTACTACGACTACTGCCACTACTGCTACTATTGGTACAGCGATTGTTTCTACGACGACTACTATGACCACTACTACTATTTCTACTACTACTACTACTACTACTACTACTACTACTACTACTACTACTACTACTACTACTACTACTACAACTACTACTACTACCTACTACTACTACTACTACTACTACTACTACTACTACTACTACTACTACTACTACTACTACTACTACTACTACTACTACTACTACTACTACTACTACTACTACTACTACTACTACTACTACTACTACTACTACTACTAACTACTTACTACTACTACTAACTAACTACTACTACTACTACTACTACTACTACTACTACTACTACTACTACTACTACTACTACTACTACTCTACTACTACTACAACTACTACTACTACTATACTACTACTACTACTACTACTACGATTACTACTACTACTACTACTAACTACTACTCTACTAACTACTACTACTACTACTACACTACTAACTACTACTACTACTACTACACTACATACTGCTACTACTACTACTACTACTACTACTACTACTACTACTACTACTACTACTACTACTACTACTACTACTACTACTACTACTACTACTACTACTACTACTACGACTACTACTACTACTACTACTACTACTACTACTACGACTACTACTACTACTACTACTACTACTACTACTACTACTACTACTACTACTACTACTACTACTACTACTACTACTACTACTACTACTACTACTACTACTACTACTACTACTACTACTACTACTACTACTACTACTACTACTACTACTACTACTACTACTAGTACTACTACTATTACTACTACTACTTCTAGTACTACCACTACTACTGCCCAGATATGGCGGAAGCAGGTGCGCGCTCAATTGCCAGGGCGCCTCAAAGACAAGCTGGGGTTCGTCAGCGAGAAGGTGCCAGATAATATCCTCAAGGTCAAGGTTCGTTGCCCTGCTGAGCAACTGGCCGAAGGGTGGAGTCGATCACCGAGACCGTCGCGAACCATAACCTGCAGCTCTCCAACAAGTGCCCGAAAAATACCGTGGAGGACTCGCCAGGTCGCATCGCTTAGTCCCAGGCGTTCGGCAGCCTGCCGGATGTGGTCACCGTGCTCGCGCAAGCAAGGCGGTTGACCGTGACCGCCGACTGGACAAAGACCCTGCCGGTGAAGGTGGAGGTGGAGGGCTAGGACGTCACCGTTGGCGGCATCTCACGCTCCGCCAGCGTCGTGTGGGACCTTCAGGGCATCGAGAAAGCAGGATGGACGAAGAAGGCCATCAAGCAGCGAATGCGCGAGTGACGACGCCAGGGGAGGAAAATTCATAGCATCAAAAGCATAGTCCTGGTTAGTGCGAACCTTAGGAACAAAAAGCGAAGTCCTTACAAAGGTCCCTCATGTGC